AAAATACACAAAAAAGTACTTGTTTTACCTCCGTTAACTAGTACCAAAGTTAGCGAATTTCTACCTCACAAATCTAGTTGACAGTCAATGCACAAATGCAACAAAACTTAGCAAGAATGAAAGAAGAAAAGGATGTACTAGATTGAGATGTCAGTTTGTATTAAAAAAGTATGAGCTAATCTTTAAATGTTATCTTAAAAGAATTTGAGTGTTTTTTTTTTAAAAACTTTCTCAACCTGATATATTACATACTTATCAATACCAGCCTATACTTAAATTAACAAATTTAATAATTTCTCAAGTAATTTTCTACAATATTTCAAAGCAAAAAATACAGTTAAATATATTGTTCACAGGCCAATACACTGCAGTGGGATGCTAACGCAAATTATTCATCTAGCGGAAGCATATTTTTGCAAGCAAAACCAGTTGCCAAACCTTCAACAGTAGTTCAGACAAAACTTTGTCGACCGTTGTCTGTAGCTTCACCGTATTTGGCAATTGCAGCTACAACTGGTGCCATGGTACGTATTACGCACTACATTGATATGTTGATCTCTATACATCATATACATTATACTATCATTAGTCTTTGATGTACATTGCTTCATTGTGACGGGGTTTATCTGAGTTGGGAAATGTCAGAGTCAAACTTTATTCAATGAACTGTTGTAACAACAAACGATAAAAATTACTTAAAATTTTTATCTGTTAAAATTCTACTTGTGTTTGAAAAAGATCTCTTTTTAGGTTTACAGCTTGGCTAATGAAGCAGTGTTGGCATGGTTTCCTCTCAATGTGGTAGTTTATTTATTTTGCTAAACGGAAATAAAGTAAAAAAATCTGTTCCAACCTCTGACCTGCAAAATTAATGCGGTTTTTCACTAATAATATAACGCCGATATTTTTTTACAGTTGATTAATATAGCTGCTACGATGGATAATGCATGCCATTTTACAAAAGGGATCGCTTGTTTTGAGGACTTCATTCTTATAGGTTTATTTTATGTCTTAACATTTTCCAAATTTAATGCTATAAAATTTTACTTGTTGTCGGTAATAACGTCTGGTTTTAAAACTTTATAACGGTATTTTAAATATGGACAGCCTAAAATAGACAGTCAGGTAAATTTAGGAACATCTGGTGGACATATTATCGTATTTGACTGCTCAAAGCCCAATACGGTGACATTCAAAAAAGTTATCGCTGTTCGTAACGCACTTTATCTGTTCACTTCCACCTGGAATTCCCCCATTAAAACTATAATTGTTCCTTGAAAAAAATTTTTTTTTAGGTCAAAAAATTTTTTTGAGGATGCAGAAAGTTATTTTTTTTTAACGCTACTTGGAACTTGAGAAGATTAAACAAAATTTGTTGGTTAGCATAAGAATTAGCCTGCTAAATATCAGAATACGTATAGAATGACTTCTGCAATAATTTAGGAACATACTGGTGCTGTGGTAGACATTGCAGAGTGTGAACGAGAAAAACTGTGTTGCTCATGCGATGTATCCGGAAATATTGTTGTTTGGGGGAAAAACTTATGCTCAATTGAGAAGAAAATCACAACAAAGTAATACTGCCTTGTTTACAAAGCTATATGATTTATAATAATTCCCATACTTTTCTTTATTATTACTGCATCAAACTTGCAGTCATTCGATACCTAAATGCATGCTCCAATTGAAAATCGATTATTATAAATAAAGCACATAAAAAGTACAAATAAAATATGGTTTAAAAAATATATCAACTTTCAGATTAAACTATAGCTGTTTGAGCATTTATGGCAGAAAAGTTGTGGTGGGCACATATACTGGAAAAATTTTAATTTTCTGTGCTGATCTAGGCAACTTGCTTATTGACATAAATGCCCATATTCGACAAGTAAATGCAGTTGTTGTATCTAACGACTGCTCGAAGGTGCTGGAACAATAGTTTTCACTTTTCTAGAACTCTTGAGTTTTCTTATCATTACAGCTTGAACACTAGAAGAAACTTTGATTACCAAGGCCTGTGAAGGAATTATATCTAAACAACATCAGAAACATAGCATTTACATCCTTGAAGTAGCTAAAAGTAAAAACTTAAAAAGTAACAGCAAGCCGGTTTATAAGCCAATAAAAAAATAAGTGTTTTTTTTTTGATTCAAAAAAATTGAAATTGTTATACATATTACAGATGCTATCGGTCAGTGAGGATTCATTTCTTCGAGTATGGCATCTCAATGAAAGTGCGGAAAAGTGCACGGTAATTCTTTGTTTCTTTGATTTCGTCATCAGCTATTTAAACAGCTTTATTTTACAGTATAACTTTTGGCGACTTTACAACCCAACTTTATGCTTGGTGAGACTTGTCGTTTCAAAAAGTTCTAGCTGGTGTATCATTTTCCTCCTTTGTTTTCTTTTAGCTACGTTCTTATTCAGCATGCTTGATTTTAAAGTTTACGCATTCTTCAAAGGACTGTTAGTAACCTTAAAAAATAACAAAGTTGCTAAATTGTCTTCTTTCCATTGTTTAAAGAACCTATGTTCTACGTCATGTTTATGTGAGATATCATTGCTGATTTGAGCGATTTATAGCAACAGATCATGCTACCGAAAATTTCTCGTCAGCGAGGAGCTGACAAAAAGCGTTCGTCTAAAGGAAGGCAAACGACACGAAAAATTCGGAAAAATTCGTTTGCTGAAGAGTATAACGAATTTACATAAGTAGTTCAGAAAAAATTATAAATGGTTCAATGTCAAGCGAAAAATAAGAAGGAGTTATTGACAGGAATAGGGATAATTGTCAGTGAAAGATGAGTATCACAAAAAGAAAAAAAGCTGGCGGCTTTTATGCATAAGTGAAGTGTCATACGCCACTGGACGGAAATGAACTGTAGAGCAAACTTGTTGAATTTAACGAAATTGATCTATATATTCCTTCACTGTTAGTGCTAGAGTAGACCATATTAGAGAAGAGATGAAGATACGCATAATACAGATGAATTATCATGTGTCAGTTTTGGTTCTTAGCCATTATTATAGCAGTTTCGACTAACACTGATAGCAGCGAGTCTGATTTTTGTACATCTTATCCGCTACGAATCACGACTATGGCTCTTCCTATAAAGGAGTTTAAACTTTTTGTGCGCTAGTTTTGCTTACCAGCTGGTCAAAAGTTAAGTCATTCAAAACAAAATTTTTCTGCTAAATGTGGATCAGAAGCGATGTTTTCACCATAATGGCTAGTCAGCAATTGAGAAATAATTTCTTTTACGGTGTTAGCACCGCTTATAATGCCTATAGTTAAACATGCAATTTCTTTCTGAAAACCAACTTTCATTCTGTGCAGATAAAATTTTCAGCTTTACACTTAGCTGATCTGCATTTTTTTTTCAACTTTTTTTTTAATAGTTGAAAAAATTTGTTTTTGTTTAAACACGCAGTTGAGTAGTTGCGTTCGAAAATTTGCGACAAACTTATTTCCAACTTTTATCATCATTATATTCTTTTAGTTGTTATAGAACGACGACATTTAAAATACGATATTCAAAACTGAAATAAGTGAATGTACAGTTTGAAAAGTGCGATTCTGCGAACAAAGCGAAATAGAGTCATTGAGGTTAATGAGAGTTTTGTTTTTTTTCCCCTTGAAGTTTTAAATAGAATGTATGTAGTAATTCTTTCAAAAAGTTCGAATGAATTATGAAATTCTTTTCAAAATTCTTATTTTTTAAAGGCGTTGACTTTTGTTCTGATAGATAATCAAAATACATGTCATTTGAAGCAGATTACAGAAAGTTTCGACCGCAGACTGAGTTAATTTAAAACTTACTTATACCTAGTCGAGTTATTTTTTTCAAAACACTGTCAGAACAGGACAAAGCAATAGTCCAGTAAAATGTTAAAAAAGTTGCGACTAGGTTAATTTTTTTTATTTTTTTCTTCAAATTTGATTGCACTTTAGATTCAGACGAGAAATTCTGTCAAGATAACTGAAGGTTGATTAATGGTTATTGCATATACCGTTATGATGCGGCCAATTCCAAAAGACACGACACATAAGTTGCTTCTTCACTTTTTTGGCACTTCATCTTCCTTCTGCTACATACAGTATTAGACCTCCTATCTTCTTCAGCTGTTTGTGAATCAGTTCTTCTCTAATCTTTGTACCATTTCAGACCTTTTATTGATTATTGGATTCCACCCTATGTTCATCTCTTAGCAACTTTTCAATTAAGCTTTTTTTCTACTCATTTTTAA